TTTTTTTCATGAATTGTTGCTATCACGATACACACAACTGGATTGTTCGTGTAAAGCCTCAGGTATTTGCGATTTACGCAAACGATATGCTCACGTTACATTTAATCTATTGCAGTACACGCAACTGTATGAAGCGTGGCGAGAACAAGTGAAACGAGAGAGGAAAAAAATGCGGAATTGTTTTTTTTTAACCGACTCATGACCACGCACCGTGACAGGTCATCAAATTGCTTCACCTGGCCAACCGCTATGTCCCCACCTCCTACAATCCACTATTTAATCAAACACAGTCCACCTTTATATCGCCAAGAATGTTGAGCTTAGACCATAATCAGAGGTAAATACAAAAGGAAATTTGTAGGTCCTTTGGGAATAAAAATGTAAACCATCCTTTTGACATCCCTGGCAAGTATCCCACATTGGCTTTATAATTATCGTTACCATGGAAACATTAATTGGTCTAGTCACGTGACCTTTTTTTACCGCTAAGCAATTATGCAGGAGCCTCCGAAAGCAAAACAATGGATGGCTGATTAATGTGACCTCAATGACCTAAGCAGTGTATCTTCTAAATATGTTCAGCTCATGAAAGCTATCAGCCTCGTGCCATTCTTCAGCAGCAAAAAAAGCCCTCTTTGAAATTAATGGCTTTTACAGCCGCCTCCTTAGTAAATTACAAGAAACATTATTAATGTAGGGTAAATGACACGTTATACTTATTAACATTACAATGTTTTTTTTATACATACAAAATTTGGTATTAATTATGCATTATGTATTATTCATTATTCTGGTACCAAGATCAAGAAGGTTTAACCCAGCAGTGTGAGGACTGATGATGATGAGGGCGTTGGTGACAGTGCAAATTTTGGTGGTGGTGATAATCATGGTGGTGGTGATCATGGCGATGATGACGACAGTGAGAGAGATACACAATACATGAATGGGTACCCACCTGGTTGTAAATGTGTGTTTTTTCCCGTATTGATTAACACTCTTATTCTTGTGGTTCATATTCACTCGGTTCGGTTGTTAAACTTTCGTGCTTTCAAAATGTATTTTCTTAGCAAAAAAAAAACACTTTTGTAAACTCTAATAATACTGCCAGCAAATATTCCTTGCATGGATCCGAGTGCTTCAATTTCCATGCCCAATAAGCCCAAACACACACATGTACACGTGGAATGGAACACGTACGAGACGCCATATGTGAAGACATGGAGTGATTACATCGCTTTGAAAGTGAATTATTACAGTGCAGGATTGTGAGAGGTGACTTGGGGGTGGCTTGTGATGGGGGCCTTCATCCAGCAGCTGAATGACCATGGTCGATGATTATGATGACATGTGTATATAGTATCCTTCCACATAGCAAGAGAAATCCTCGCACCTTCTTTGACAGCCCGGCTAGAAGCGTTGCATTGCCGCTTGGTCCGGGGGGGTCTCTGTGTGCATATTGGCCAGACCCGGGATCCTGAAGAATGAAGCAGAAAATGAATTTTCTCAAAATGAAATCCCGCGAGTGTTGGATATCTCTGCCAGGCACGTGGCATCCTTTCGGGATACTCTCTCTGCAGAGCAGAAGCTACCGTGCGGTCCGCAGGGTATTTCTTGCCGGGACAAAGAGTGATAATGGAATGTCATCCCTCTAGGATTAGGGGTGCGCTATTAAGGTGCCACAATGTGCTTTTGATTCCTACAAACTGGATGGGAGCACTGCCAGGACTTAGAATGGCTCCCTTCCCAAGCACCATGTTACACGGACGGGAAAATAAATAATTGAGGAAAAACATTTTTCCATTGTGCCCAATGTAGAATGGCGAGTACCGAACAATGGAGTGGAGGGCAAGCTACGCTATGGCACCGTGTCTGTGCATCCTCTTCCTGCCACGTTGTATAATTTTACTGTGAGAGGAGTGGTCCGCGTTTAGTCTCGTTGAGGCTGAACTGCAGCTCACTCAATCGCTTGATTTTGATGTTTGCCGTGTGTTTTTTTGTAAAAAAAAAGAAAATTATCCGATCAAAAATTCGCATAACTTCCGAGTGTTTTTTTTTTTCTCCTCCATAAATATTCCCACATCAACTTATGCACACTATTAAATCACATTTTTCCAATTCCAAATTTTCCCAATTTCCACACTAATCTTTATCTCGGATTAAAAAAAAAAAAATCAATTGCCCCTGAATTGAATTCAATGGTACCAAAACAATATTAAATATGAAAGCAGGTGTTAGCTTCATATTTTCAATTTCTGAATGCCTCCGTGGATTTGTTGGCAAGATGCATTCAGAGTGCACCGCCACAGCTTTCATGCTGCCCATAAACGCCAATTTCAGAATCTGTTTGTAGCTAATGAGGTTCCATCATGGAGGGCTTTGCTGGCTCAAGCACCTTGGCTCAGCCCGCCACACATCCTGGGATATCTGTTTAATTGCGATTCAGCTTTATGCACTTGGACGGAAGCTGCTCCGTCTCCTCAACCTGTTCCAACCGCAGGGAGAGAAGGCTTACTGTATTGCCCGGAGGCTGCCCTGGGTTATGTTTAAATCAAACCCCCAGCATCGACCACACATGCGCAATCCCTCAGCCAATTTAGAGCAGCCGGGGCTGGCCTCAGCCCATCGTAAAACAGCAGACACGTGCCTGAAGGCGCCGCTGCGTGTGCGGCGAGTGTCCGCGCGTGCTTGCGCGCCGGCGAGGAATGGCGTAGCGCTTCCCGTGATTAATGACGGTTTTCAAGGTTTGTGTACACGGTATTACGCTTTACCCCCTTTTGGGTTCATCGCTAACGTGCATTGTGATGGATGCGCGCAAGTCCGCACCTCTCCCCGGCGATCTTCCCGCACGCTGGCTTGCGGCGGACTTCCTCGCCGCTATGGCCAGACAGGTTTGCGTCTGTAAATTGTGCTTTTTTTTCCCCCAGTGCTGCTTAATACACTCGCTCGTTATGCATAAAATATTTTTTTTATTTAAATCATTGCCAATCTGATGTCCCGGAGGCAGGGTTAATTAAAAAAAAACCTAAACAAGCCACATTTGCCAATTACATCCCGTGCCACTTGCACGTACACACATGTGCTCAAAAATGCCAGGCTTGGTCACTCATTTCTCATTTTAAAAGTTTGCGACAGTCGACAATGAAACAATAATGAGATACAAAACACAGCAACACTGCCAAGAGCTGATTAGAAATTACTCTCTTCCTCCGCACAACATACTGCTTCACTATGAGAGGCAAAGAGCATTGTTATTTCGTCCGAGCGCCCTTCAAAGGCCTTGATCACCGCTGAAAATTATTGCCAGCGCTAGAGTGCTGGGGAGGGGGCAATGTACTGGCTTTAAATGCCCTAACCGCTCCATTTGTGTCGTCTGGGGCGTTTGTTTATGACATCAATAACCTGCTAAAGAGCCATAAATTGTGACAGCTCGTCCGATCTGAAAACAATCGAGGGAACACCGCGTCGTCCTTCAGCATAAAATGCAAAATCAATTTTCAAAAATGACTCAAAGTGTGCAAACAGCTCTGCTCGGCCAAAGTCAATAATGCACTTATTTGGGACAACATGTGAAAGATACAAAAACATTCGTTTTCCTCTGCTCTCTGCATGCTCACGCCGTTAAAAGTTAGCTGAACCATTAAGCCATCTCAAAATAACCGTGAAAACAATGTATTGCTTGATAAAAACAAATTGGATTACATTTTTTCCGAGGTTTCGAAGAGCAGTTGTAAATTAAAAAATATATATTGTACAGCTGTGTGACTTACACCTGCTCCGCATGTTGCGCTCACATTTCAAAGTTAATTACGTGATAAATTAGCAGTGATGGATTACAGAACAGGAGCCGAACGTCCAGGTATTACAACAATGTCCTTCCAATCAAACGGTTGAATTGTGCCGGGGTGATTACACGTGGCATTGCCATTGTGTGCACACTGAAACGGTCCTGCCCTTAAATTTAATTTATTTAGAAAAATTCCTCATTAAAAACTCTTTCCTTTTTCATAATTGTCGTCCGCATCTTTCTGTATTGCCACCATTATAATTAAACACACGATTATCATATCCAATTTGGCCGCATAGCCCCTGTTCAGTTAAGCATAGTTAAATATTGTGCAAATTGCATTTTTTTTTTAGGAATCAAACATTAAAATGAGGCAGGGGAACGTGTACATAAAATGGTCGGGTCTTGATGGAGCAGGGTACCACTTCTTGTATAATAATTCTTACTAACAATAATAACGATTACTTCTTTAATAAAGGGAGGCCACGCTGAGTCTGAAGACTCTTTTGCAGGAGCGTCCTCCATTGGGATGTTTGGCCAACGCCAGTGACGTTGTATGTTCTTAGCTATGAGAGAAAGTCAGAGAACCCGGAGGAAACCCATGAAGAACAAGGGGAGAACATACAATCGCCACCCAGAAGGGCACTCGAGTCTGGAATCTTGCTATCACGTACGAGTGTTACCACTGCGCGTCCCTGTCGCCCTAGAAAGGCAACGTTATAGACCCTGGCTGAAACCCCTCCTCTGTAGCGAGAAATAATCCTTGTAGGTAAAATAGAAACCTCCATGGCAGATGGTAGAGAGAGGCCAAGACAAACACGCACGAGACTAATTTGACCCAGCATAGCTTAGCATTCGATGCAATTCACCCCGGCTATCTGTGACCACCTGGGCAGACATTGGTAGCTGGGCACGGTGCTGACTACACAACCCCCTCGTTGCATCGCTCCGGCCTTGATAGGTGCTGGCTCATGGCACTTTAGCCCTTGAAGGCTAGAATTTACAGCGCACGGTTCCCATCATGCCTTGCGTGCGTGTCGTTGTGCGTTGTTGAATGTACTCTGTTGCCGGCCTGCAGACGTATTGCCGTTGTGATGGATTCGCTCATCGTTTCGAGAAGGTGTCATTTTTGAATTGGTCCACGAGGCTAATCGCCTGATCTATCTGTGCCGTTTATTAATACGTGCTTGTGCGTGTGTACACATATATATTACAGGCATGGGCAATCAGCATGGACAAATCCCAAAAGAGCTTGCGACGGAGGTGTTTGAGGAGCACCTGGGCAGCCAGATACTGCAGGTGAGCTCCTACGGCATGTGGGGGTGGGAAATGGGGCTTCATCTTCAGACGCACACCCTCGGGTTGTTTAGAAGCAGCGGAGTCTGGTGCTTCACGAGACTCGTTTTTTTTTTGCAGCTCGCATTAATCAATGCAAGTGTTTTATATGGTAATGCTCTGGCAGTCTAAATGCCAGCGACGGCTGGAGAGGTGGCTCGTGCAGCGCCCGGGGTTTCGACTTGCGTGTGTTTACAAGGGTTAACTGGGTTCGAATCGCTGGGGCCAGTGGCTCCAATTATCACCTTGTTCAGCGGAATGTCAATGCTGCCTCAAGGCTGATCAGCCTCTCCATATTTAGGCGGAAAATCCCAAAGGGCCTTGTCGAGAAAGGGGGTAGAGAAGCACTCGTCTTGTTCAGAAATGTCATCTTGAATTTTAGTTACTCACAAGCTTAAACTTTTCGTAATCTCTGTTAATATTTGAGGCCCTCCGTGTACGCAGCACATATCCATTATTGTTTTTTTTTGTTTGCCGTGGTTTACGTGCGGTAACGCCTCCGACCAAATCGCCGTAAATGTGCCCGTCTCGGAAGCTCAGCAGGCTTTTGAGTTTGGTTAGTACCTGGAGGGGAGACTGCATGGGAACACCGGGTGGTGTACGTGTGAGGCTGTGGCATTCACGCCATGCGTGCTGGCTTGCCGCTGGGTTCTCCGGTTTGCTGTCACGTGAGGTCACTCATTCACTGAAAATAATCTTGAAAATAGCCTTGACGCTCAAGTTTCCTCGGTAAATAAAGAAATGTCGTTCATGTTATTATCATTACTATTTTTTGGGTCTTTCGGTAAAGTCACGTAGATAGGTTCAAAGAAAATTATTTTCTTCTTTTCTTTGAACCTATCTACGTGACTCTTTCGGTAAAGTCACGTAGATAGGTTCAAAGAAAATTATTTTCTTCTTTTCTTTGAACCTATCTACGTGACTATACCGAAAGACTGCAGTCACGAAAGCTTTAAGTCAAGATTATCATTACTGTTTATTGCATTCTTAATTCATGGACTCATGAAGGTGATGTCATCTGTTTTTGTTCGCAGTCATTGGACGGATTTGTTTTCACGCTCAACTTTGACGGGAGGTTTCTGTACATATCTGAGACCGTCTCCATCTACCTGGGCCTATCTCAAGCAAGTACCAGTGCTGCTGTCTTTGGTGCACACAGACACACACACGTGCGACATTGCGTAGCCAACGCGTGGCGAACCACACAGTCATGAAAGGCGGGCACTCTCTTCAGAGCTTAGTTGGCCATGATCTATCAACTTCTGGACGAAGGCCTCCAACAAGCCATCGTTATCTCTCATGGTCTCGCGATGCAATGATGCACCCGGCCCCTACGCAGGAGCCGATTGCGTCGCTCCATCTCCTCTCGGCCGTGTTTCACTCCTTTGGCTGCCGCTCTGTCATTAGTTTCGCCCACCGGCCGTTGTTCCTTCCAGAAACGCGACCTTCCCAAAGCCAATTACCCTTCTTTCCTCAATATGTCTTTAATGTCATTACATTTCCATGAGTTCTCTAATCCATGTGTTCCAAGGATACAGCGCCTTGTGCTTCTTTGTGCTTTTAACATATTTATTAAATGTTCTTTGTCAATGTCCTTGTTTCTGACCCTTTCTTCATAGCAGGTAAGTGACACTGAAATACAATTCATCAGAGCACCTTGTTTAAAATACGATGTCTGCTGTTGTTTGGGTGTTCTGTGGAAAGGACGTGGTTTAAAAAAAAATATTAACCAAAAGGGTTTAAACGTTGAACACGTTGAGAGACAGAAAGAGGACCATGTGGATTTAAAGGACATAATTAAGAAAAGTGGTCTTAGGCAGGACACGTCGCTCGAAGGGACGATGGTCGATGGGGGACCGAGAACAATAACGGAGTGGCAGCGAGGGAATGGAACGGATCCGAGAAGCCCTCTGCCAAAGAGATGGATCGGTGAAGTGGGTTTGTGTGCAGGTGCGGGGTGGAGTAATACATTGCAGTTTCGTGAGGGGTGGCTCTAACTTGGGGATGCCTTCATCCAGCTGTGGATTGACCATGACTGACGATGAAACATTTAGATGAATGGTTGATAAAATCCTCCTTGCCGATGGTCGGTTTAAATTTGCGCTGAAAAGAAGCCCTCTCGGGCCAGCTGCTGCCCTCGCACCCCAAGATCCCGGGTAGATTACTCCTGATAGTAAATGTGACACCGGTTATACAGTTATAGCGGCCTGTGATATGTGGCGTCTGGAACTCTGGCTCTGTATGAATTCATATTCTGTATATATACGAGCCGATGTAGATTTAAGGCCACTGATCTAAAGAGAGGGAGCAGTAAAGGATGCAACCAATGTGCAGTTTAGAGGGGGGGGGGGGGGAGGGGTAATGTCAATATATTAAAATGCAACTTGGAAGTGACCATCATGACAAATACATTTTTTCTGTGGCATGATAATGGCTTATAAATAATGAAATTAAGGTAATTGATAAAATACCTCATAAAATCAATTAACTGCACATCAGATGCAATTATAGATTAGTACTTCACATTAGTCATGCGTCGACCTTGAGAGTGGGGCTGTGCAGCAGCCTGGAACAAACTCACAGCTTATGTTTCTGTATTAATGGGCACATTAACTTTTTGCACGTGATTTCAGTTTTATCAGTTCGACAAAATCTCTCCGCGAAAAGCGACCGACGCCGCGCGCGCTCGCTCGCCACGTCGGCGTTTCACGTCCTCCCCGGTGAGCGTATCGACATGCCTCGATTCGCTGTCCGTGCCGTGGGAACCCGGCCGCGGCGCTCAGTGGCGAACGCCGCGGCCGCCGTCGCTTCTTCTTCCCACTTCCATTCCGCCACGACCAATCGGCGGCGCCCCCGTGTGTGTTCTCACCCATATTCACGTGTTTCCCCCCCGCCCGTCTCCGCGATGCCTATCTGCCCCACCGCTTTATTACGCCTGCTGCAAGCGTATCTCCGGCACGGCCGCGCTATTTTAATTTTTCGTTTTAAATTGCCCCTGGAATATGGAAATGTCCGTATATCTTGGAGGGCTTTTTTTTGGTTCGTGAACTCGCTCTCGGTCTCGCCTCCCCCACCCCCCCCCCCCCTCTTCGTCCTCCTCGGGCCTCAAGGACGCGGTTTGTGGGTACGGTCGCGGTGTAAATTGTGCGGTGATTCTGACGCTCGATGTGGTGTGGAGAGGCCTTCATCCAGCAGTGGACTGACAGAAGGCTATAGATTATTGAATCATTATTTATATTTGCAGATGATGGTAAAGCCTACGAACTATGGATTTGATCAATTGCATCTTTAAGCATTGAACTCCTACCGATAGCGGTGTAGATGGAAGTCTATGTCCAACCGCGGTGTGGCAGCAACCGTAGTTCCCGAGCTCCTTCTCGGCGTATCAACCCGGGCCACAATTAATTGTCACACTTTCAGGGTCACACGTCCGGTATTTTTTTTTACCTATCGTGGACTGCCCCCCGCTCAGTAAAGCTCCGTGACAAGGGCGAGTAGATCATTGCTGTTATTCTCCTCTGTGCGTCACCGCCTATCACAAAGTCAGAACTCACTGCTGGGACTCATCCTACCCTTGCAACTTCGCTCGCAAGCTTCGCGTGCGGCAAATCAAAGGAGATACAATGCGATAACTCGGGTCCTGTTTCAATGTATATTGCAAAGTGGATTGTGCCAAGAACAAATATTGCGACAATGACTTTTGTAGTTTTACTTTTAAAATACATTATCTAGTTTAGTAGCAATACTTTTAGATTACTGTAGTGTCTGTCTGTTACCCAAAAGCTACTGTGATTTAAATGTTCACGTGCCTCTTTAAAACTGAGGGGAAAAAAACATGTTAAATGTAATTCTCATCAGGCCCCATGGTGTAAACACGCACGCAGTCTCCAACTCCTGTCTTCTGGCCTCTCGGCGGGCTATGAAGGAGGGCAGTTGCCTGAAAATGTCACGTGTTTTTTTTCACTACATTTTTTTATTTTAAGGCGCAAGCGTGTTATTTACGAATGTGAGTTTTTTTATTATTATACCAACAATGACAATTCAAAAACAATGATTACAATATTCCATGCGGGAGGCTCCTGCATGGGGGAAGTATAGCCAATTCCATTATTAAGTGTTTGGTTTGTAGGAGGAAATTGGAGAACCTGCAGAAAACGCACAATTAGCAAGGTGTTCACACTCGAAGCTCCGCACAGAGAGATTCAAGAATCCATTGCTGCATTGCCATCTTCTGACCACCTCACATACGAATGATAGCTTTTGGAGAATAATCACGACAGTGCCATTATAAAAGAGATTTGAGAAAAGTAAAGTGGTAAAGCACCAGTCACTCCACTGCTCGACGAAGGCCTGCCCACGCCATACTTCATTATGCTGGTGAGTGCGGACTGGCCGCGGCTAACGTCAGTGGCAAGTGCCTCCCTTTCACCAACAAACGTGGTGCAGTAAGTTCAAGAACAACAACAACAACAACAACAAAACCCCACGACTGACGCGGCATAGGAGGACTCCATCCAGCAGTGGATTGACAGAGTGGCTGAGAAGAGTATAGCATGCGGAGAGCTCCCAGCAGCCTTGCACACATTGTGGTGCTATCACAAGGAGCATAGTTAACAATAGTGTTGTTACACACACACACAAACAATGGAGTCACAATCTTGCGAGCATGGACTCAGGAAGTCAGTCTGTCTGGCACTTGACACGTGGAACGTTGTGATGAAACCGCGCAGGTATGACACCGATAGGAGATGCCAGCAATGCATATTTTATGATTTACTCTGGCACCGGTATTTCTCTCAGACTTTTCTCCAAGTTTCCCCTGCAATGGAGACGTTCTCTTCGCTGGCTCTCACCTGCGTTAAGCACAACATCCGCAATCCGAGCACGACGTACACGCCATCTCGCTGCAACCACACCTCACGACGCTACCCAGAGCAATGCCGAGAGCAGTGGAAACATGAGCGTCGTGGAGAGAGGAGGCTTATTTATTAAAGGTGTTTGTTGGCCATACGCAAAGGAAAAGAGGCAGCAGGTCTTGGGCCTGGACTTGAATAGGGATGGGGAGTCAACAGCACAGATGGCTGAGGGCATGGAGAACCAAACCCCAAGGGCGGTAGATGAGAAGAAGCGACCTCCCGCTGAGCAAAAGCTGACCCTGGGGGGCTCCGACAGAAGTCCGCGGTTGCAGGAGGGGAATCGCACGCAGGAGGAGGGTGCGGAAGGTGCGGAGCATGCAGAAGCGGCGGGTGGGGGTTGTGGTTGGCGGGAGCGCAGTGGGGCCCCGAGAAAGTGAGCGGTTAAACCCACGGCTCTGTGAGACGCATGAGAAACATTTGGCCCTTCATACGTGCACGGTTTTTTTGTTTTACCGGCGCGATCATTAGCGCAGTAGAACATTAATTTTAAGAGCGCTCTTGTAAGTACTGGGGAATATTCTTTGTGGTGCGGATGGTTAATTTGACCGTGGCAATTCCGCACAACGGGATCTTCAATGCAGCAAGCTACGAGGCTGTAAAATAAATTCCGTTTTTTTATATTTTGAAAAATAAATATCTCCCCCGCCGCCCGCCCCCCACCCGCCGCCTCCCAAAAAAATTAAAGCGTGAATGCAATCGAGTGGGCTCGGCGGTGCAGAAATTAACAACAACAAACGGGACAGGAGGCACTGGGCGCTTCCAGCGAGGAGCAAAACGGCGGCCGCGCTTGCCCCGGCGTTTTATGCGTTCGCCAACTTTTGACGATTTCACTTTGAATACAAATCAGTTCACGCGTACATTTGAGATTTTCGGAGGGCTTGTCTGCAGCTCGCTGTCTACTCGCGGGTAGCAATTCGTATCCCAATTTGAGACTGTTCGCCTGGAAACATCCCCGAAGGTTTTATTTCCATCGGGGCCCCCGCAGTGTAAGTGCAGCCTCGCACTGTTATCTCTCTGGCCTTGTGCTATGAAGGAGGCCCGTTGCCCAAAACATCGCCTATTATGTCTTTTTTTTTAGGGCCACGGTGTTACTGACGGAATGTGTTTGAGTTTTTTTGTCTGTTCCATGGGCACTGCAGTGCAGTTTCCACGCCTCACTGGGAGCCGTTCAGACCCTCCCTAATGCGATTGGGCAACAGACGCTTGCT